CTCCAAGACACCATAAAACCTGTACATAGGGGGTACTTTTTTTACTCAGGAGACTTCGCTGAACTCAAATATTAGTGTTTCAAACTGGTAAATTGTATTACAACGATGATATTTTAAGTAAAAGTGACGTTTTTTGCATTTTTTACAAACGAACTACACTTTTATGGACTATATTATTGTTGTAATATGTTTTACTGTTTTAAAACACTAATATTTGTGTTTAGTGAAGTCTCCCGAGAATAACAGTACCCTCCATGTACAGGTTTTATTGTGTTTTGGAAAGTTAGAGAGTCACATATAAGGCTTGCAACGTTCTATATTTGACCCTGTAACTTTCCAAAACACCATAACACCTGTTAATGGGGAGTACTGTTGTACTCGTGAGACATCGCTGATTACAAATATGTGCATTTTTTTGCACAGTATTATGACATTCACAGCTAAAATGTCAGACGGAAATACAAATTTAAAAACAAATCTTATTTTCTCACATTTTTTAAAATTTTATTCATAATAAATTATGTTCCATATATGAATAGTTAATGATAAATTAAAGCCCTGTTTCTCCTGAACAAAATGATATATAATAAGTGTGGGGGCACCTAATGTGACAGCGGTGAATTACGGTTGGACAGACATATAGCGCAAATTCCAGTTTTTGTTTACGTTTTGTTTTGATCAGAACGTGCACTATTGACTCCGTCCTGAAGGGGTTAAACACTGTTGTTTGTATTGCACTGTATCCTGATGAAAGTTCCTTAGAGAACTGAAATGTTGATCTTCTGTGGCAGATGCCTGAACAAAAGCTAAGTTTTTTCACAATATTTTTGAAGTCTTTGGAGTGCTATCATTACTTTATTTCTATATATATATATATATATACACGAGATAATGTTATTTGTAAAATATTCTCTATTGTACATGGTCTGACTAACACAAAGCAGTATTGGAATTCCTAATCTTATGGCGGTGCTGGAATTACACGTCTCAGTCCAGTAAGATTTATAGGAGCTAAGTTTCTAGGCACAGGGCCCGCCTTACCACTAGGCAGCTGCCTAGGGTGCTCCGGCCCTGGCAGTCTTCAGGTGAACGGCAAGAGGGCAGCTTACTGCAAAGGCATTGCGGGAGACAAAGAGACATACAGGTTAACTGAGGGGGACAAAGAGACAGACAGTGGGCTGAGGGGACAAAGAGACACACAGGTTAACTAAGGGGGACAAAGAGACAGACAGTGGGCTGAGGGGACAAAGAGACACACAGGTGGAATGAGGACGACAAAGAGACACACGGAGTGTCTGGGGGGACAAATAGACACAGCTGGTTCTACATGAAATTCGCCCTTTTATTGTTAGTGAAATGTATGTTGTGAAAGGTGCTGAGGATACAGAAACAGCACACTTCTATCTCCTCAATTGCTCAGTTTCTTTCTACTGGCACTCTGTGTTACATTATAATTATTTACTTACTGTAGTGTGATTAGAGTTGAAGTCCAGCCCTGTGTTAGTAATGTACAAGAGGACTTAATTCTGTGTATAAAGACACGGAAATTTGAAAAATCTTTTTCTAAAAGATGAAGAATTTATCACATAATATATATTCAAATATTTTCAGTTTGCCCTTTAAGGGTTGGCACGTGAAAGTGGGACATATTTTTGAGACATACATGTAAATGTGCTCTAGGGAATATGGGTCTCCAGCCATCTGTTTCACATGCGTAAACATCACATATTTTATATTTTCTGTCTCCACTTTGTACAATGCTATAGAATAGGTTGCTAAATATAAAGATTACTAACGTGTTCTTAGCGGTTATATTTTTATGTGTTATTTTTTTTTCAATTTCAGTAAACAAATAACATTTAGTCTCAAACCAAACAGCATCCCAAAAACGAGAAGCACCCTTGCTTGGCCCCCTCTACGGCCCCTTCCTATGTGATTCAGTGACATCATGATGTAATATGATGAATTCTCAAATCCTGTTGTCTGTAGAATAAGCAGTTAAAGTTAACATCAGAAGGACTACCCAGCAGTATAAATAAAAACATTATTCAATAAGTGCTAAAAGAGATAAATGTCAGTTTTCCCCATAATAAGAGCATCTGTTTACTAAAAGAGCTGGCAACCAAGTTGCAAAAGGGTAGGGGTTATTATATATTAAATCATTTTAAAATCACTTTCACATATACGTGAGAGAGTAAGGTGAATGTTTGTGGTTAATGAAAGTGCATTCCAAATTGAGCTAGTATAGTGAATATGAATTTACATATTAATCTAAGCACAGATCTTGCAATAAGCGTGTTGTTCCATTTTGCCCCCCTTAGTGGATATTGGAAGGGATCAGCCCTCTGGTGCAATGCTGGACTGTGCTATAAAATAAAAAACACACACACACACACACACACACACATATATATATATATATATATATATATATATATATATATATAGATAAAGAATTTATCACATAATATATAAATAAAATAGTTTTTATTTTATGACAACTCTTCTATTATACTCTCCACCAGATGTGAGGTTAGCAAACATTTAGGTCATCAGATGTTAAATACATACTCAGTTCCGTCAGCAAGACACAAAAAAGGTGTAAACCTGACTGTGACACCTTGATAAATTCCCCATTATTTTTTTTCCTTTCATTATTATTTTATTTCATGTTTATTATGTTGTTTAGCAGAGAAATATGCAAGCATATTATCAAATTACCAAAATTCATTATTCAGAAGTAAAAGAGGTATAGTAAGTTTTATCTTCATAAAACTTAAAATTACTAAATTAATCTAGAAAAGAACACTTAATCTTCAATTGTATTTATTCTCAAGATAAATATGGCATGAAGATATATAGACTTATTGTTAGAGATGGTAAATTGAGGATCACATAAATAATGAGAGTAGTTGCAAGTACTGTAATGTTTTTTATATATACGTTACACACAATGTGTCCAGTAAAGCTGAAGTAAATAGTTGTCAAAGTCTTTTGCTTGGTCGTTATGAATCGGGTGACACATCTATAGGGACTTGGCACTTCAATTAATTCCTACTGAAGGCAAGGTACAAAACAGCCAAGAACTTGCAAATAGTGAGAGTGGCATAATTAGGGCGAGAGGATGAATATTTCGACTTATCTCTTGGTTGAATGAAAAAGTAGACCTTGGAGGCCCGACCCAGTGCATAGTCAAGCAGACAAGTAAAGTGAGTAGACCAGATTCCAGAATGAATTGTTTGCTAATTGAGCTTGACCAGACCTGCCAAATGGCCAGTTTTTGTGCTGCATCATTTGGGAGATCTGAATCTCAGGAGTGGGCACAGGCCAAGCAGCTACAAGGTACTTAAGTCTGAAGCTGGGTGACTTGGATCATAGCCAGAAACACAGTCCTCAAGCCAGGGCCGGATTGGGACCTAAAGTCAGCCCTGGAAAAAAATTCTATACCAGCCCAATAAAGCGTCGCGCCAGCATAGTGTGCTGATAAAGAGGGTGAAAAAATAACTTGAAATTGAAAACTCTTACTCCAACGAAGGAATGCATATAGGGCTTCAAAATAAACAAAAGAGCGCCTTTATTTTAAGTAGACGTACATTTGCATGTAATGTTTCAGTACAACTACTTTGGCCTATTGAGGACATTTTAGTAATGGTACTGAAATGCTGAATGTCTGCAGTTGCACAACTAAAAAAATGAAGTGAACTGGTTAATTTTGAAGTTCTATGGGTGCACTCTTCACTTTGAATATGTTATTGTGCATGAGTATGCAACTAGCAACAAGACAGGGCCAATACGTGCTCATTATATATATATATATATATATTTATTAATGACATTTATGTGTGTATTATGCATATATAAATGTATATTACTATATGTGTAAATATTATAGGCATAATTATATGTTACTAATACACACATCAATATACATGCATATATATATATATATATATATATATATATATATATATATATATATATGTGTGTGTGTATTACTGTCAGGATCACATCAATTTACATCTATTACCTTTACCTCGTTTAGTGTATCTTGTCTCCAATTGTCTCCTTTTTTTCTCTTACAGCGACCCTTGTGTATCTTTTACTTCATCCCAGTCCCTGTGTGTTTCTTTTTACCCTTCTCCAGCCTCTGTATTTCTCTTTCCCCCAGCCCCTTTTGTGTTGTTCTTAGCCCCAGCCACTTTGTCTCTTTCTCCCCTTCCAAATCTCATCTGTGTGTCTCTTTCTAACTCCAGACTCTGTGTGCCTCTTTCTCTTCTCCCAGTCACTCTCTGTCTCTTTTTCCCCAGCCCAGCGTTGCCTCCCACAAATCTTGTCACTTTGTTCCCCTTCCCTACTGTATGTCTCTTTGTCCCCCCAACAAACCTTCCGTGTGTCTCTCTTCCCCATCTCCTCCCTGTGTCTCTCTCTTACCCCTCTGTCTCTGTGTCCCCCCTTCTCCTGTGTCTCTCTATTACCCCTCTCTTTGTCCCCCCAACCTCCTATTACCCCTCTGTCTCTTTGTCCCCCCCTTCCCTGGTGTCTCTCTATTACCCCTCTCTTTGTCCCCCCATCCCCTGTCTCTCTATTACCCCATCTGTCTGTGTCCCCCCTTGCCCTATGTCTCTCTATTACAGCTCTGTCTCTTTGTCCCGTCCCCCCAACCTGGTGTCTTTCTATTACCCCTCAGTCTCTGTGTCCCCCCTTCCCCTGTGTTTCTATTACCCCTCTATTTGTCCCCCCCTTCCCCTCTATTTGTCTCCCCCCCATTCCCCTCTATTTGTCTCCCCCTTCCCCTCTAACCACCTCTTTCCCCCTTGCCCTCTATTTGTCTCCCCATCCCCTCTTTTTACCCCCAATGCCCTCTATTTGTCTCCCCATTCCCCTTTATTTGTCTCCACCCATTCCCCTCTATTTCCCCTCTTCCCATTCCCTCTTTTTTCCCCTCTTTGCCTCTATTTGTCTCCCCATTTCCCTCTTTTTACTTGCCATCTATTTGTGCCCCCTTCCCCTCTATTTCCCCCCCCATTCCCCTCTATTTGTCCCCCCCTTCCCCTCTATTTGTCTCCCCCTTCCCCTCTTTGTCTCCCTCTTCCCCTCTATTTGTCCCCCCCATTCCCCTCTTTGTCTCCCTCCTTCCCCTGTATTTGTCCCCCCATTCCCCTCTTTGTCTCCCTCCTTCCCCTCTATTTGTCTCCCCCCCTTTCCCTCTATTTGTCCCCCCATTCCCCTTTATTTGTCTCCCCATTCCCTCTATTTTCCCCTCTTTTTCCCCTTGCCATCTGTTGTCTCCCCATTCCCTCTATTTGTCTCCCCTTCCTCATTTGTCTCCCCCTTCCCTCTATTTTGTCTCCCCTTCCCTATATTTGCATTACCCCATTTCCCCTCTATTTGCCCCCCCTTCCCTCCGTCCCCCCACCCCTCCATTTGTCCCCCCCTTCCCCTCTATTTGCCTCCCCCCCTTCCCCTCTTTTTGTCTCCCCTCCCTTCTGTGTCCCTTCTGACCTTGTCACAGGAGGTCTGAGGGAGAGGGCAGAGCTAACTACCATGCTCCCTCACGGTTCCCATAATTCCCAGCATCTACACATCATAATCCCTACTCTATGATGTGTAGATGCTGGGAATTCTGGGAACCGCGAGGGAGCATGGTAGTTAGCTCCGCCCCCTCCCTCAGTCCTCCTGTGCTGACAGCCGCATGGCTGTCAGTATCAGTGAGTGTGCTGTTGGATTGCTTAGGCGGCCGCCCGGCACACTCACTGATACTGACAGCAGCATAGCTGTCAGCACAGGAGATGGGCCGACAGCCACAAGGTGAGTAATCACCTCAGAGTGTGCTGCCGGACCGGCCACCCGGCGGCACCGACATGCGGCCAACGGCCGCAATATTATTAAAATATAGGGAGCAGGGCTCCCTCTCTCTCCAGCCCCCCAGGTGCCGCGGCCCACTGGGAAATTTCCCGGTATCCCGGTGGGCCAGTCCGGCCCTGCCTCAAGCCCATTGTTCACTCTCATTATTTGGCCCTGTTTACCTTGGGTGACATTAACCCCTTAAGGACCAAACTTCTGGAATAAAAGGGAATCATAACATGTCTCAGGAGGGACCTTAATTCTCTTGATCTCCAACAGTTGTCAGCTAACATTGATTCACAACTGCTGTCCATCCCTTCCCTATCCTGTCCTTCACTGGCCATCTCCATATATAACAGTCCTATTTTTCCTCTCTCATTAGTTCATGTTCCCGCAACCCCAGGCGTCTCTTTGACACCTTTAATTCTCTTCTTCGCCCCGCTGTGGCCACCCCCCAAACCAACCTTACTGCTGATAACTTTGCATGTTACTTCACTGACAAAATTGAACAGCTAAGGAAAGAATTCTCCCCTCCTTGCCTTTCTGTTTCTCAATCACACATTGATCATGCCTTTCCTACCCTTCAGACATTCTCCCCAGCCACTGACCAAGAGGTGGCTGCTCTTCTTTGCTCCTCTCGCCCCACCACTTGCCCGCTCGATCCTGTCCCGTCTCACCTTATCAGATCTCTCTCCGCTTGTCTCGTGCCTTCTCTAACACACATCTTCAACTGCTTGCTCTCTTCTGGCATTGTCCCTGCTGACCTTAAACATGCCACTGTAGTACCTATACTAAAAAAAACATCCCTTGACCCATCCACCCCCTCTAACTACCGTCCCATATCCCTGCTCCCTTTTTCCTCAAAGCTTCTGGAAAGACTTGTCTTTACCCGTGTGTCTCATTTCCTCAATTCCAACTCTCTCCTTGACCCCCTTCAATCTGGCTTCCGCCCTCTCCACTCTACAGAGACTGCCCTTATCAAAGTTACTAACGACCTAATCGCAGCTAAATCCAAAGGCCACCACTCCATACTAATTCTTCTTGACCTCTCAGCGGCCTTTGACACCGTTGATCATGCTCTCCTTCTTCAAACTCTGCAATCGCTTGGTCAGTGTCTCTTTTTCTAATGATAACTCCTCCCCTCGCCCTGTCTCGGTTGGAGTCCCCCAAGGCTCTGTCCTTGGTCCCCTTCTATTTTCTCTTTATACTGCCTCTCTTGGCAAACTTATTACCTCATTTGGTTTCCACTACCACCTGTACGCTGATGACACCCAGCTATATCTCTCCTCCCCGGACCTCTCCCCTGCTGTCCTGCAACGTGTCACTGCTTGCCTTTCTTCCATCTCTGACTGGATGTCCTCCCGCTTTCTGAAACTCAATCTCTCAAAAACTGAGCTCCTTGTCTTTCCTCCTCCTAATACTGATCCTCCTCTTTCGCTCTCCCTTCAAGTTTGTGGTACCAACATCAGCCCATCCTTGCAAGCGCGCTGTCTTGGCGTCATACTTGACTCTGGTCTCACCTTTGAGCCTCACATCCAGCATGTTGCCAAATCCTGTAGATTCCATCTTAAAAACATAGCCCGCATCCGCCCCTTTCTTGCACCAGATACTACCAAGGAGCTTGTCCATGCTCTAATAATTTCACGCATGGATTATTGTAACCCTCTCCTGCTTGGTCTTCCCAAAAGCCGTACTGCACCCCTACAGTCTGTAATGAATGCTGCTGCTAGACTGATTTTCCTCTAGAGTCGGTTCTCTCACACCTCACCCCTCTGCCAGTCCTTACATTGGCTTCCTGTGTGCTATAGGAGTCAATTCAAGGCACTAACTCACACCTATAAAGCACTGAACAATTCTAACCCCTCTTATATCTCTTTATTGCTTCACAGGTATGTCCCTTCTCGGTCTCTCCGCTCTGCCCGTGACCACCTCCTGTCCGTTGTCCGCACCCGTACGGCCAACTCGCGCTTGCAGGACTTCTCGCGGGCGGCTCCCTTCCTATGGAATAGCCTGCCTACCACCATCCGACTCTCCCCTAGTCTTGCATCTTTTAAGAAGTGCCTTAAAATCCATCTCTTTAGGAAAGCTTATGGCCTCCAAGACTAACCCCTACCTCACATACCCGTCTCTTGCCCTCTCCTAAAGGGCAGCCCACCTTTTTTGATTGCACATTCCTTTCCTAATGTGTCTTACACCCCACCTCCTATAGAATGTAAGCTCGATTGAGCTGGGTCCTCTTCAACCTATTGTTCCTGTAAGTTTATTTGTAATTGTCCTATTTATAGTTAAATCCCCTTTCATAATATTGTAAAGCGCTACGGAATCTGTTGGCGCTATATAAATGGCAATAATAATAATAATAATAATAATAATAATGTCACACATGTCGTGTCCTTAAGGGATTAAGTAGGTGGCTGAGTAATGGCTTGGCATAAGTGACCAGAATTTAAGTACTAAAGTAGACCATGCTTAAAAACCAAATGAAGCCATGATAATCAATTTTTATTCTTGTTCTAATGAGGCAGTGCTTTGCAAAATCCAGCTATCGGAGTCCTTTTAAAGGCTAGTCTTGTGTGCAATCCATCCAACCCCAATACTGGGCAAAAGGAGCTGAAAACAGACTCATTGGTGCAGAGCTGAAAGGAATATGGCTGCTCAGGATGGTGGTCAAGCACTACATGCTTTTTCTATTTCTACTCCATGTGTGTCTTCTGTATCTGTTCTCATAATACTGAATGACAGATGTAAAGGCTGTTTGTTAAACAATGATTGACAAGGAGCCAAGATGGAGTTGCTCAGTTCCTGGATAGAGCCAAATACAGTGGTGTGGATTTCTATTGTTGAAGGCACACTGTAGGTTGAACCCTTCCATTCAGTGTTAAATTGGTTTTAATGTTTTAATGCTAAACGAGAGTCCCCAGCAGTATGTCCCCTTTGTGATGCTTGGCCTACTGCAGAAACTCTAGCCTGATCAGCAAGGGATGCCTGTAATTGGCTGAAAGTATCAGCTGTCTACTTTAAGCCTAGCACTGTGCGGATTGCTGGTATGAATTGGTATGGCCAGAAGGAAGTGTGTAATCTCTGCTTTTGCTTTATTTCCAGTAGGGGCTGGAATGTGTGTGGACAGGGACCCTTATTTACTGTTAAACAACCCAAAAATGGTTTAACACTCAATCGAGGGACTGAAGGACAAGTCTAGGGTACTCCAAGCACCTAACCAGTTTAATTAGATGAAATGATTACAGTGCCTATAGTGTCCCTCTAATTTTATTTTCAGGGCTCAACAACACATATTTGTCAAATACAGCCAGGAAGGTTTATTAAATATGCCTTTTACAGGCGAGAACTGCTGTGTGCCCTGCCTTACATATAATCCTCTCTAGAGACTCCTTGAAGCAGATCTCCTGAGCTCTCACATTGGCAGACCTGACCTGCACCAGCTGATCACCTCACCCAGTCAGTGGAACGCACACCATGTGGCTGGATGGTCTCTACCAGCCTGCCTTGCAGATCAAATAGAGGTTCCTACTCTTAAAGGGACAGTCCGGGCACCAATACTATATATATTTTGGTCTCATATGCTGTATTTTTTTTTCAAATCTTCATCGGTTTTGCATAAAATAAATAAATGTTTCTCAGGATTCTGCACCATAATCCTGCCTCTTAAGCCACACCCCATTCACTCCAGAAAAATACTTCCTTATCAAATGTGATACATATCCATAGGAGAGGATACCCTGGTAGACATATAGTAAAGTTATTATTACCTATTAGCAGTTTCTCCGAGTGTCTGCAGCCAGGCTGGGAATTATAGGCAGCGCGCTCAGTGCTGTTGGGCTGAGACAGTGTACATACATTTGATAAGGAAGTTGTTTTTTATTGTGAGGGTGTGCAGCTAAAGAGGCAGGCTTATGGTGCAGCGTTCTGCTAAATATTTATTTATTTTATACAAAAACTATAACCAATTGAGCATGCAAAATGGAGTATAAATTACTCATTATTTGCCCTGTTTGACTGTAATAATAACTTGTTTTTTTTTTTTTTTGAAGGGGGATGGGGACAACACTCAAGATCCCAAAATCACTGTAGGTTACTGAAGTGCTTTAAACAAAAAGTGCAAATTTCAATAAAAATGGGCACTTTTTATAAGTTAACCTTGTTACCTGGCTGTCAGTGAGACAAATGGTCTGTTAGTTCCTGGTGGTTTAGTTTACTGGAACGAAACTCAAGAAAAAGCAATTCCTTGGATCGCCTACTTCTCATTGAGCTGTATTAGGAAGTCTGTGACTGGAAAGCCACAGAAAGTTTTGGAGGGTTAGAAGAGGAGGGCTTGCAAAGGCAGCAGACAAGAAAGCTGCAGCTTTCTTGAAGGGATACTTCAGGCACCCAGACCACTTCTGCCCATTGG